AACAAAAAAATTATCGACAAAATTCTGCGTTAGTTGACCTTTTTGCAAAATTTTGTATGCAAGTCGCTCTTTTCTGCGTTATTTTAACGTTTAACGCAGAAATTAACTGAAAAATTTCTACATGGGTAGGTTCAGTTTACAATCCTGAATCTAAATATCCTAACCGCTCCATAACGTGTGGCAGCGAAACTACGGCGTTTTTCAGAAAAACGGATGTTTTTCCGATTTTCGAGACATCTCGAATTTTCTTGATTTTTCGACCACAAAAGGTCTCTAAAACCTGAGTGCCACATATTCGTGATCTCCGTTCAATTCTCTGTCGAATGGTGTATAAAGCAGTCAAAAGAAAAAAAGTTCGGAGTTGTGTATCTTATTTTAAATGGTTTTCCTCCTGATTTTTCCAGTTGTCTATAAAACCACTCTTGTTCTATCGGATTATGGTATCTAACTACATCCCGAAGAAATCACTCAGCCTTGTTCTGGATAAGAAACATTGCCAGGAAATCCATCATGCTCGATAACCTGTATCTCCAGTTATTGCTAAGGCTACAAGACCTGTTCCAATACAGGAAGGAAGATGGAGGCCAAATGCTTACAATGAAAAAGATATGGTACGGAACTTGGAAAAAAAATTCTTACACATGTTTCAAGTATTTTTTCTTTTCTCTAAGCCTAAATGAGTCAGAATTGTTTCACGTCACCAACGGTTAGATCAAACAGAAAAAATACTTTTTTAAATAGAACTTGCGCAAATTCTTGCAGATTCAGCATAACAGAATCGATAAATTATTTTTCAGAGTTTTATTCTGTTATGTTCAAAAGTTGTCCGAGTATATGCCATTAGAGGTTAAGTTTGTCGTATTTGAGTCGATGATATAATGGAGGATGGTTTATTCTGTAGTGTTAATCGTCTACGAACATTTGCGTGTCCAACAGATAAATATCGAATAAATGACAGTACTAATAGTGTAAATTGTTTTCGAATAGATTTACTAATGAGTATGAAGAGATAAAAGTGCATTGCATGAGTAACACACGATAGAAGACCAGCCAGATCATATGCCGTGTCATAAATAATTATTGTCGTTTCATCAGGATTAAACAGCTTAAAATTGTACATGAGAACGAGAATGTTATATGGTGTAGCTATTATCAAAAATATAACTGAGATAGCGACAAGAACTAATGACAAATGAATATCATATTGATAGTGATTGCTACTATTAACGTTCACATGAACTCGTGATCGACTTTTTCGAATGATCCAGAGAATAATAGAATCGCCTGTCAACATACAAAGAGATGGAACAATGGCATAGACACAAAAATCAATTACCGCATAGGCACTGTTAATCTTTTTGTTAATTATAATACAGGCAGTCTCGTTGGTGTCTGGAAAATATTGAATGGATGAACCAAAGAGTATAGCATTACTGCATAAAAGAGCAATGAGAACAACTGGAAGAGATAAAATTAAATATGATCGACGATTTAGTGAAAAATTACTGCCAAATATAAAAGTCTTGCGCCATATTTTAAGAGTGAAATAGAGGCGATCAAATGTGGCCAATACAAGCATCCATATGGCTGCTTGAGCTGAATAATAGAAAAGTAGAAGATACAATTTACATAGTATATCATTTCGATTTCTTAATTGAACATCAGTAAGTTCACGTGTAAGACGATTAACTGTCCAAACAAGAAGAGCCGTTTGGTCGAATATGGCCAAAAATATAAAATAAAACGCACAGGAGAAACGCTTCATGCGGGCCCGAGTAAACAAGATAATGTTCATCATATTACCTATGGTTCCGACGATAATTATAATGATAATAATAGGAACAGCAACCTCAGGGAGAATTATATTAATGTCTGGTTCAACGAAAAGTACGGAAGAATTTGTTCTATCCATTTTCTACTACACACAAATAAAATATTTCTATTGATGCAGTCAAAAATAGAAATAGTTTAGCAGATGGATTTATGAGCTGAATAATCGTTAATCGATGAAATATTTATGATGAAACAAATATTATATAAAAAAAAAAGATTGAGACTTAATTAAAATTGTTTAACTGATCTGAGATAGTGACGGTAAAACTACAGCATTTACCATATACATTGAAGATGAGAGTAGATGAGTTTGAAATGGAAATTTTCAACAGAGAAATGAAGAGTAAAGTCATCTTCTTTAGAATAGTAAAGTCATAGTATTTATCAAAGCGTTTCGTTGTGTATAGGAAAAAATTATATACGGGGCTATTAACACACTGAACTTCATATGTACCGTTGAGTTATAGAAAAGGCTGTGCTAGAGTCAATCGTGTGAGTAAAACATATAGCCATTGTACCATTTGTTGGTAACAGGACTTGAGAAATAAACATTGCACTTAAACTTTTCTGATGATCTCAACAAATTTCGGTAGCCTTAGTATAGCCTAAAAAGATTTTCCAGACAGTTACTTTCATTTTCTTTCAGAAAACGCAATTTTGATAGAAAAATCGATGAAATCCCCGAGCATATTGGAATATTAACAATCTGAAAAGGATCTATAATACTGTTTGTTATACATCATTCGATAGATCTGAATGAGACCAATCTGATGAACTACAAGGCAATTCATTAAAATATCTATTTTGGAATTTCTGGTAGTAAAAACCGTTATTCTCTATTATTACCCTCTTTTCTCTATATGAATACAAAAATGTTCTTATCAAGACTTCTCACGAGCATAGTCGAATTGGTCTTCCAAAGACAAATCGGATGATGCATGATAAGTGCAGATTATTTCAGTTTTTCGTGGAGTTAGTGCTATTGTAAGGTGACGGGACACCTTTACTTCAAAAAACGGTACCGGGACATTTTCGTAGTAAAATAGTTTTTTCAGAAGCGATCAGAGGTATCACGTTTAAATTTTCATCACACGAAAAAAAATCACAACAGAATGCAAAGGTGATCGTTTGAAGTCAAACGGTCAATAGTCTCAAGAGATACTGGAAAATAAAAAAGAGAAAAAATGACGGGACATGTAGTATAAAAATGATATTTTCTAAAAGTAATATGTAATTTTTTCCATCAATAAAGTGAATTTAAAATAGGGGTGTCACAGTTACGTTTTTGGTAAGTGGTCTATTTTTCGACTTACCTTACTGTTTTTTATCGCTATCGAACAAATAAACTAGTGGTTCTTGCACAGTGGGCATCCAGGCGGACATTAGGCGAAAAATTAAAGTGGCTCATTTCTTTAATGTAACTAGTGCAAAATGTAGCCCTTGAAATTCTCTATCGAATGGTGTATGGATGTCTATTTTGATGT